CCAGTCATCTCTTTTTGGGCATTTGGGTGGTTTCCAAAGCTTAACTATTGTAAATAGTGTTGCTGTATAAACATAGGGGTGCAGGTACCATTTGGGATTACTGTTTCCTGTGTCATTTGGATAAATACCTAGGAGTGGAATTGCTGGATCATATGGAAGTTCTTTGTTTAGTAGGTCAAGAAATCTCCACACAGCTCTCCATAGTGGTTGGACCAGTTTGCACTCCCACCAACAGTGCAGGAGAGTTCCTTTTCACCACAATCTTGCCAACATTTGTTGTTGCTAGTTTTTTTTTTTTTTAATATGTGCTGTTCTCCCTGGCGTAAGATGGTATCTCGCTGTAGTTTTGATTTGCATTTCCATAATTACAAGTGATGTTGAACATTTTTTCATACTGGGGAATAAATCTAACAAAAAAGGTAAAGGACCTATACAAAGAATATTATAAAACACTGTTAAAAGAAATAGGAGAAGACACAAAGAAATGGAAAGACATCCCTGTTCATGGATTGGAATAATTAACGTTATTAAAATGGCCATCCTATTAAAAGCAATATATAGTTTCATTGCTATTCCAATAAAAATTTCAATGATATTTTTCAAAGAAATAGAATAATTATTGATGAAATTCATATGGAATTACCAAAAACCGCAAATAGCTAAAGCTCTCTTGGAAAAAAAAAAATGGAAATGGAGACATCGCACTTCCAGACTTCAAACTATAATACAAAGCCATAATAAACAAAACTGCATGTTACTGGCACAAGAGCAGACACACAGACCAATGGAACCGAATAGGGAATCCAGAAATAAACCCACAGACTTATGGTCAACTAATCTTTGACAAAGGAGCAAAGAATATGCACTGGAGCAAAGTTGTTCAAAACATGGTGCTGGGAAAACTGGGCCGCTACATGCAAAAGAATGAAGCTTCACTACTACCTAACACCATGCACAAAAACCAACTCAAAATGGATTAAAGAACTAGACATAAGACCTGAAACCATAAAATATATAGAAGAAAACATTGGCAAAACACGGCATGACATGCACCTCAAAGACATCTTTATAGCCGCATCACCCAAAGCAGTGATAGTGAAGGCAAAGATCAAACAGCTGGGACTACATCAAAATAAAGAGCTTCTGTAGAGCAAAAGAGACAGTAACCAAAACAAAGATACACCCTACCGACTGGGAGAAAATTTTTGCACACAACACTAATGATAATGGACTGATCACAAAAATCTACAAATTGCTGATGAGCCTCAAATAAAATAATCCAGTCAAAAAATGGGCAGAAGTGCTAACAAGAAACTTCTCTGAAGAGGAAATACAAATGGCCAACAGGCATATGGTATATTACATTTCTGAGGATTTCTCTTTTTTAATTTAATTTCTTCCATTTCTTTGAATTTCTTTACCATTGCAACTCTGAACTCTGGGGAGATCAGATAATAGACTCCATGTTGGTTTTCACTTGGGGTTCTGAGATTTCTTTTTTTCAGTGAGCGTTATGTTATTTGGCTTGGAGACTCAGGTTCACAGTTGTGTTTTTCCTTCTGCTCATGGGTGGTTGTGAGGCCTCTGGCCACTGTGGCTCACTCCTTGAAGCTGGTCCAGGGTCTTGTGAGAAGTCACAAGGCTTCCGTAGGTTGGGTGGCCCTGGCAGAGTCCCATAGAAGGTTGCAAGACCTCTGTCACTCTGGCTGAGGGTTGGTAGGGTTTTTCAGAAGGTTGCAAGGCCTCTGGCCACTCTGACACCCTCCCCAACACAGTTCTATGGTCTTCTGGTCTGGGCTTGCACTGACAGGCGCTCACACCACCTGGACCCTCCCCAAATGGACCCAGGGTCTCAGAGGCCTGGTGGAGGCTAGTTGGGTCTGCACCAGGTGTTGATGAGGGGCTCCACATTTGTTGGCTTTATTAAATACTATAATCTGTCTCTAGCTTTGTGGTATCCAGAAGAGAACCTTGGCTCGGGTGCTGTGAACCAGACCCTGGTATTAAGTCATATGGTCTTCACAATAATGTCAGACTGGAACTCTGTCCATTTGCTAATGGAGAAACTGAGGCCGAGGAAAAGTGTGGTAACATGCCCAGGCCCCTCCATGGCAGGTTTCTCACCTTCCTGTAGTTGTCAGGTCTGCTTTCCCGTCTCAGAGCAGTCTTGTCTGACCTGTGCATCAATCACATCCCCATTGTTTCCTTCCTATTTTGATCAACGTCCTGTGTGCCCACTAGTTCCCGGTTATCTCAACTGTTCCTGGGGTGTGAAGTCTTCTGAGGACAGCGTCTGAGTCATGAGGGAATAAGACCGAACCTGCTGATCTGACTTGACATCTTGATCACTAGACTTTCCTGCCCACTCGATTTGACCAGAGTTTTAGTTCATTAATTGACATTTGCTTCATTTGCCCAGGATTGAAGGGCAGTGGATGTCCACCCACTTGTTCCCTCAACTCCCAGGGAGTGCAAGCAGCTAGTGTGCCCATGGAGTGATTACCATGGTTTCCCCTGTATTACCCTCGGTTCTAGGATGATTTTTTGACTGAAATGATTTTTTGACTGACCTTCCTGCCTTTTTAATTGAGGCTGCCAGAATGCTGCAGATGTTTCCAAAGAGAGGTGGTGTTAGTAGGTGTGTGCTAGAGGTGCCAGCTTTGAACTGTCTTTGTATCTTTGAGGCCACAGTGCAAATACCTTAATGACTAATGGGTGTGGAATGCATCGATTCACTGGCCCCCAAGGTTGTGCCCAGTGCATAGCCACAAGGCTTCCTTGTGAACTGGAATCTGTGCTTGGCCCTGACTTGATCTGCAGAGAAATTGTGTCTTCTCTGAAATTATACGGAAGGTAAGCAGCAAGGCCTGGCTCCTCCTGCCCAGGTCACGTGGCCCCTCAGTGTCACATGCTTTCTCTGTCCCCCATCCCTCCTGCCCACAAACCTTGTTAAAAAGGAGTTTATCATTGGGCTGAAGAATGTGAGAGAAGATCAAAAACCTTAACCTTGAGCACAGGCAGCTCATCAGAGACCATCCCCATCACTTTGTGGTTGATGATTCATTTAATCCTCAAGCAGCCACCATGTGTGGTTGGGTGAGTGCCTGATCTGAGGATGAGTTGCCAGAAGTGACAGAGCTGGAACTGGAATCTAGGCATTCTCCAAAGGCTGTCGGCAACCAACTTGCCATGAGTTCACTTGTTCATGCACTCATTCATTCATTTGTTCATTCAGCTGTTGCTTATGGGTACATAGTTTGTGTCTCACATTGTTCTAGGTGTTAGGGAATCATTCTTTGACAGAGCAAAGTTCCCACCCCCTTGGAACTTTTATTCCAATTAGAAAAAACAAACCTCTAGCAGACAAATGATACAGTTTTGAGTTTGGAGAGCTAAGGAGAAACAGGAATGTAAAAAGAATACAGAGTGATGGGAGCTAGTGTGCTTGGGGATGTGGAAAAACCCATGAACAAGGGCAGCTCATTTAGCAAGATCTTCTCAGAGCCATGTGGAGTCCCCAAAGATGGTGGTCTGATGGATCTTGCAGGATTAGAATCCCATGTCTCAGAGGAGTGGAAACCTAATTGAAGGACTTTGGCCACGTGCCATGTGGCTTCGTGACCTCAGGGCCTTGTGATCAGTCTACCAGACCTGCAATTTGGAGGGGAGAATCACAACTAGAAAAGAATTTGGGGATGTTACTGTCAAGGAGAGCAGATGGCTGCTACCAATACCTAAAGTCCCCTGGAAGGATCTCAAAGATGAGGGAGCAAGGCCTGTTCCCTCAAGATATTAAGGACAGAGGCTGTCACCATACTGGGTGTTGAAGACCAGGACCAAATTCCTCTAAGGGAGTGAAGCGTTCAGTTCATAGCACACAGAGCTTTCTGGGTCAGGATGACATTGTCAAAACTCTGAGCCTTGAGACTTGGGTGCGCTTGAGGAGGAAGGGAGGGCTCATGGCTTCAGCAAAGTCAGGGAGGCTGGCCTGTGTCCACAGTGGAGACCAGCTGATGATTCACTGGGAGGAGTAGGCACTGTGGCTGCTGCCTAAAGATGTGATTGCATACCAGCAGGGGGGTTTGGAGTCAGTGGAGAGCTAGCAGGGGTTGAACAAGATGAGGGGAGAGAGTGGAAATAGAGGTGGAAACAGGTGAATTAGAATACACATAGCCCCTGCTTTTTGAGAGTTACAGCATTTCAGTTTTATGAAAGACCTACATTAGTGCCCACTTTTTGCTACTGGGAAGAATCCGAAGGGAATTAACCAAAGACAAAAAGCAAAACCTATGGCTCAGCAGTTGTTGTGTAGCAGCCTCTCTAGAGGCAGTGCTACCCTAAGCACAAGAGTGGCCCTGACAAGCTCCTTCCTTGAAACTGCCTTATGTGGGGGCATATTTATCACATCATTGCCCTTACTAGAAGGTAGTATAAATCTGTGTGTTGTTGGTATAATTTGGCAGCCTATTTTTTGGTGTGTCTGGGGACACTAAAAATAAATTCCAGATAGTGGTCATTCCCTCTTACACAGCTGTTTTGATTACAGAAATTTTCATGCTAACAGGCGAGTATAGTAACACTCTTTCAGATAGTGTGGGAGATGCACAGCATCTAAACTGTCATTCTACTAAGTGCTAATTTTGAGGCTTTACTAGACTTTAACAGTAAGTGTGGTGTTATCTCTATAACAGAGTTGAAGTGTCAAGGCCTCAAAGAGATTAAGCTCTTGGCCAAGGTCACGGGGCAGGTTAGTTGCAGAGGAGATTTTAACCCAAGTCTGAGCAACAGTATCACTGGTATGTGCTTCAGCATCCTCAGCTGTGAAGTCAGGGGTAGTTGGTGGACATGTATCCTGGGCTCTTGGCCCTGATAATTTTTCCTCCAGCCTTTTCTTCCTCCACACTTTCAGATAGCATTGGGCTCAGCAGGGGGCAGGCCAGAGTGGCAGAGTGCAGGGGTGCTGCGGAGTATCTGCAGAGATTTTTTCCTTGTCCCTGCAGGGCCTTTCTTCTTCCCCCCTGCAAAGAGCTGGAACAGAGCTGCCAAAGTTGGAGAATCCTTCATTCAGCTGAACAATCTTTGATTCACCGTAAGCATGCTTTCAACTGACAGGTAGTATCCCGGTCTCTAGACTTTCCTCCCAAACAGATCTCAGTTGAGTCCAGCCCTGCAAATTGGGGGACTAGCTGTCAGGAATTCACAGGCGACATTTCAGCTCTATATGCATCAGCATATTGCTCTATATGCCTCGTGTTTCCACCAGTGAAATGGTGATGTGGGTATTCAGGGTGGGGTGCCCCAAATTACAAGGGTGCAGGGGCCTTTAGGAAAGACTGGTGTGGTTTGAGCCAGGTGCAGGAGAGAAGAGGGGCCTGAGGATCTTGGGGCCTGGTGGGTACATGACGGGCCTACAAGGGCTAAGCAGTGGTTGCCTTGTGATCTTGCTAGCAGACGGAGATATTTTCAGAAAACTTGTATATTCCAATAAAACCTGCCCCTGTGGGCTCCACAACCAGGGTTATCATTATTTGGATTTCTTCCGCCTGGATGAATGCAACTCTTTTTTTTTTTAAAGATTTATTTATTTATGCATACAAGAACTGGGGTACAGGACAGATGTGTGGGAGGATGAAAAGATTCACCTGACACAGAGCAGGGCACGGAACAGGCAGACTGATGAATGCACTGCTGAGGGGAGCAGCAGGTGAGTCAGGAAAGGTCTGCTGCGCCATGTGGAATCTCGCCGGCCAGCTGGGATCGAACTGGTGCTGCAGAGGCTGTATGTGGACAGCTCCACAGCGCTGTGCTCAACTGCCTGCGCCACCAGGGGAGGCCGCAAGATGCAATGCTGTTTAATAGGCATATGAATACAACCAGTTATCTGCCATATAGATATATTGACTTGTATTTATTGATGAGCTCTGTGGTTTATAATGTGCATCTATGAGTTAAGTTAAGCTTGGAGTAGAAGCCTCTTTGAGAAATTTAATCACGGCTTAGGGGATGTGTGTGCTCGCACTTCTCCCCCTGGGTTACTTCTGCCTGCAGTGTGTAGCTTTAATCCTTGTGCTGCAAGCAGAGCCTAGCCCAGTTTCTATGGCAACAGAGCATGCCACCTTCTCCCCTAGTCTTGAAGTCACAGAGGGAGAAGCGAGGTGGGTGGCCTTAAGATTTCATCACCTGGTCAGCAGCCCCAGGACTTGTGCTTTAGCCTCCGTGAGGTCGTGGGTCCCACAGGTTTAAGGGAGACCAGTGGGCAGCCTGAGAGCAAGACTTCTCGATGCCTGTAAGTTTTGACAGACCACTGACCATGCTACTGCCTTGGTCCCATCTGCAGCTAGCCTGGTGTGGAGGGTGCCTGGGCACATTGCTTCTGTATCCAGAGAGCAAACGGTTATGGGCCCTTTTAAGGGTGGGCTTGGGAAAGGCCTCAAGAGCCAGTGGGGCGAGAAGATCTGTGGTCATAGCGGCCAGTGTGCTGTCCAGGTACCCTGGTCACTTCCACCATGGACAGCGGGAACAGGAGGACTGTAGAAGGGGTGGCCGCACTGGGACAGTGGCCTGACAACTGTCAGCTGTGGCTCTGAGCAGGAAGAGCAGGGGAGTGGTTGGACATGGGCAGTGGTGTCAGGTGGCCTGGGAGGCTGGCTCCAGTCCTGCTGAGGCTGTGGGACTTGGGCAGTTTATTTAACATCTTTGAGCTTCTGCCTCCTCATCTCTAAAGTGAAAGTCGAGGCACTTTCTAGTCGAACCATTTTCTAGATGATTCTTAGGATGGAGTACATGGAAGACGGGGGCTGGCAAACTTTTCCTGTGGAAGGCCAGATAGTAAACTTACTCTCTTGGGCACAGTGGCACTCTACCTTGTCAACTCCTCCTCTCTTGTGTAGTAACGTGTGAGTGACCTCAACTGTGTGTAAATGACAGCTGTGGCTGGAATTTGGAGTTTATACACGCTGGAATTTGAATTTCACGCACTTTTCACGGGGCATAGTCTCTGTTTTTCTTTAACACCCTCTCCTTCAATCCCCAACTATTTAAAGTGGCAAATGCCATTTTGCCTTACTGGCCATGTACAACCAGTCAGGGACACGGGTTTGGTCCACAGCCATAGTATACTGACACAGGATGTAGAATAATGTCTGTGCAGTGTTCTTTAAGTGTTGGTCACTCATAAACCTCTGCTGTTCCTCATCATCATTCTTTCATCCAAGGAGGGTGGGCTGAAGGCAATAAAATGGTTGCTTTGCTGGAAAAAGAGAAGATTTGGGCCAGGGTGTGCATAATAACTACTGTAGGAAGGGTGGAAGGGGTTTGTTATCCTCTCCCCGAGGGTAGCCCCCAGGATAGATGGACAACGGGATAGATTTTTTACTCTAAGACCTTCAGCAGCCAGCAGTCCCTAAAGGTAGACCAGGCTGCCTTGGGCATTGTGAACCTCTTTGCCAGAAGTGCTGGAGCTGAGGACCAATGTACTGTTGTGGGGTGGGGCTGGCTCCCTGGTTGAATGGACATTGAGGTACTGGGGTCTGACCTGGGTTCCTGGAGCAGTCATGGGGTTGAGGGAGTTAGATTACTGTTCTTCATGATTCCTTTCCCAAATTCTCAGAGCACCTTCTCTTCCCCCTCACTCCTGGCATAACGCCAGTGATGCTAAAGGGCAGCATCATCTCTATTCAGCAGGTGGGTGAGCTGGGGGCGGCAGATGCATTGGAGATGTGGCTTGGTGAGAACATGGACTGTGGTCCTGACACCAGTTCAGGTGCTGACTCTGCTCCTTCCTACCTTTGTGACTCTGGGTTAAAGCCACTTAATCTCTCTGTCTCCAGTTGCCTCTCTGCAGAGGGAAGGTTATCTCCTTGACAAGGCCATTGTAAAGATGAAGTGAGTATTGCATGCAAGCTGCCCAGCATAGTTCCTGATGGGCAGTACACATTCAAGCATTTCACATAGTTATGCCCACCTAGTCCCAGTCTCTGGCACCTGTGATGCTGTGGTGGCCCAGGAGGGTCAGGGAGCTGCCTGTCCTCTGGAACATGGTGGGTCCTGTAGTCTGCTGTGGCAACGTCTTCCCCTGACCCCATGGTGTCAGCACCTCCACGGGAGAGGTGGGTGTTCAGCAGTAGTAACTCTAGACTGGCTGAAATATCTTGACTTAGAGGGAGGTGAGGCTGTGCCTGGAGCACCATAACCACCAGAGTGAGCCAGGAGGTGGCAGGAGAGAGGCGGTTTGCCCTGTGTTACGGGCTTTGTATACTGGGCTCTCAGCTTGGGAATCACATCACAGATCACGCCACCCAGTGGGGAGCATGTCCCTTTTCCCTGGTTTATGGGTGAGCCAACTAAGGCTGAGAATCCAGCGCCCTATGTCTGGGGTTCCAGAGGAGGAAGTAGAACAAGTGGGACAAGAACATGGGCCTGACAAGAACCTATACCCTGAGCCCAGCATCCTCACCTCCTGTCACTTTTTGGCTGGCTTTGGCAGGTCATGTACAGTCAGCCTGGTAATGACAATAGGTAATACTCTGATGTGGTTTCTAGCACCAATATTCCCGGGTGCTGTTTGGAGTAGCAGTATAAAAGAGTATGTACCTGGGCCTCCGTGGTGGCACAGGGGGTTAAGATGCAACTGTAAAGCTGTCTGTAGCCTCTGTAGCAAGAGTTTGATCCCCAGCCAGGGAGGTACCCACATGACATTGCAGACTTCTCCTGACTCGCCCGCTGTTCTCCTCAGCAGTGTCCTTTGGTTAATCTGCCTGTTCTGTTCCTCACTCTGTCTCTGGTAAACTCTCTCACCCCCCACACACAACACCTCTGGCCTGTACCCCATTTCTTCTACGCATTAATAAATAAATCTTAAGAAAAAGAGTACATGCCCTTGTACATGTGTTAATTTTGTAGCTCTCACAACCTCATTGGGATTGATTCTCATTTCTCATTTAGAAAACCAAGACAGAATTTCCATGACTTGATGTAGGTCAAACAGCCAATCAGTAGACCTCGGAGCTAACTCTGAGGGCTGTACTCTCTGGCTCTTCTGCCTTCTTTGGACATCGGTTAGGTATGCAATAGGTTAGGTATGCAATAAACATAAATCGTTGTCCAGCAGAATGGTTAGTGCCTAGGAAGAACACTCCCTTCTGTTTCATCAGGACAGTTAACTGCTGTGGGCTTCCACATCACCATGTTTTTTTTTTTTTTTTTTTAATGACACCATAGCCACAGGGTTAATTAGCAAATAGGGTAGGATACATAGACACTCTGTGACACATTTAAAAAAGATAGGGAGCAAATGAAATACACAGATTTTATTCACAGTCAGTGCCTAGAAACACAGCAGTGCTAAAGAAAACATATCCCTTTATCTTAAGAAAGACCTCAGGTTTACTAGTGGGGATGTGTGCCCGTCCTGCCTGCTGACCTGCCAGTTCCCATGCCTGCCACTCTGTGTACCAGGGGAGAGAACAACAGAAAAGAAATATGAGAAGAGGGAGACAAAAAGTAACAAGGTAGACTGAGGGGAAATGGCGGGGTGGGGAGACACGGTGTGGGCTGGCCTGCAAAACGGTGGAAGGATGTGATGGGGCATCAGAGAGAAAGTTGTCCCTGCTAGTGTTGAGGAGGGCCCACTGCCAGTGATAGTGTCTGTTGTGTTGTATATTTCTGTGGGGCTCGTTCAACCAGGTGAGGTTCCTGCTCTCCAGAGCTTCTAGTGCACAGAATCTCAGAAACATAAAATTCACGCAACCGTTCAGCCTGTTCCCTTGTCTCCGGATTGCTTGGGAGCATGCATTTTCAGAACAGGTGTTGTAGCAGAACTGACATACTATGAAAGTTCAGGAGTGAGGAGGAATGAAAGGATCTTTTAAATAGGCATACCCTTGTAAGTTTCCCCTTTACCCCAGAGATGGGCTTATTCAGGGCCCAGGTGACTTCCTGGACAGAGTGATGTTGATCTCTTTTCCTCCTGACTTCTGTCCCCTTACTGGCCCCCGGGGCTGATCCCGTAGGAGCTTGAGGCTACACACCAGGTCCTCCCGTATCTTTCCCCTGTTGAAGGGTGACCCAGTATCTAGTCTTGTGTGTCGCAGAGCACACACATTTTGCAAGGA